TGCTTTGTATTGAAAGTCACTGATGGGAAGGCTGCTGAGGGCTATCGTCACATCTGCATGCATGAGCTGAAGTTCTGCATCACACTCATCTTGCCATCTCATTGCAAACCTACTTCTTCCCCCTCCAGTTTGTCCCATTCTCAGCCAACAGCATCACCTCTTTGGCTAGTTGCTGAAGAGTGGGGACTTCTCTCTTGTCCTCCTCTCTGCATTCTACCCCATGCTCAGATGAGCACCAGGGTCTGTTGACTTTGCCTCTGAAATGGATGCAAAATATATACTCGTTTCCATCAGTGTCCACAGTGGCATTGATTGCCTTGGTTTACTACCATAGATCCAAACTGATGTACCTTCCTTCCTTTCAGGTCTACAAAAGCTATTTGTTATGCAGCTTCCAAAAGGCTGCTTTAAAACCTAATACTAATCATGTTATTCTATGTTTCAGGGCCTCCTCTGGCTTTTCATGACAAATCTCAGCTATGTAGACTACTATGTCCTGTCAGTCTGGCCCTATGACCTCCAGTATTTTCCTTCCTCCCCACTCTGGCCTTCTGTGCCAGGGACATCCATTTCCTGCCTTGTTTGTCTGAAGGTCTTTGTACTTGTACCATCAGCAAGCCCGACCAAGCTACCTCAAAGCTGGCCAATTAATTCATGTCTCAGGACAAAGGTCACTTTCTCAAATGACAGCCCTTCTCTGACTAAATCTATGTCCTTAGCCCAAGGCTGGGTTTTGGAAATAAATGGGATATATTGTCACTGGCCCAAAGTACCCTGCCTAAACAGACCTATAGCCTCAAAAGTATTCCTGACTAGAAATCCTTGAGTCTTCTTGGAGAATCATTGGAAAATAAACAGAATCCTTTTGGGCAAGTGTCATAGCCACATTTCTGTATGGGGAATGCATATTGACCTTGCTGCTTTTCACATACCCAAATATTCAAGTTTAATGAATAATTTAAACAGGCATTTATGCATATTATATTAGTCAGAATTCTCTAAATGAATAGACTAGTATGACCCATAATAAAAAGAGGTATTATTTGACTGACCTACAGAATACAGTTGGTTATTGCAAAGGTGGCTGTCACAATGGGATGGTCAAAGGATTCAGTGGCTGTTCAGTCAACAATGCTAACGTCTCAACAGTCCCAACCTAGTGTTAGAGTCCCAGAGAGTTCCTAGAGAGCTAATGTTTTTCAGTTTATGCTGAAATGTTGAAGACATTGGATTTAATAACAGCTGTAGCAACAGGGAGATGAACTTGTCAATGAGAGTGAAGATGAACAGGAAAAAAGCAAAGGTTTCCTTCTTCCATGGTCTTTAATGTGGACTGCACTAGAAAGTATAGCTCAGATATAATATATTCTGATTAAGAAAATCTCTTGAAGGTGTGCCTAGAAATTTGGGTTTTATTTGATTCCAGATGTAGTCAAATTAATGGACCACTAATATTGACCTACATATGTTTGCTGTGGTATCTCACACACATGCGCACACGCATGCACGTGGGTACACACACACACACACACACTTAATTAATTTTGCTGTTCCTCATATGGTTTTTATCTTTGTGAAAGTCTTATTGCCACAATAGAAAATTAGCAAATGCTTTCATAAAATAAATGACAGGGTTTCTGATTCAGACCGTGGACTTTATCAAAAGAGGAAATTTAAGTGGTATTCTTGACTCCCGCTGGTCATTTGCATGAAATTTGCATACACAACAATTATTTGCATAAGTTTCCAAAATAGTGGAACAAAAACTGAATGTGGGAAATCCTATAGACTGCTTAAACCATAAAGTGGACAGTGAGAAACTTAGGTTTTCTAAATGAACGTTAAATATAAATGGAAAAAAATGATGTTATTTAATCCATGAAAATTCTTTAACTTAGATAGGTGTACTGAAAATTAAAATAGGCCTTCCATCTTACTCCTCTACTGTCCACTGTTAGGGACGATGGGGACTAAGATGTGTAAGTTATCTGACCAGGTTGTGGGACCAGCCTCCAAAAAGCATTATCTAGACTGAGGATAATTACTGAAAAGTACATGTTTCAGTTGTACTGTTGTTCATAACTTGGAAAACCCAAAACATCTGAGAATCTAGTGCTGGGAAATTTAGCAGTGACACTGCCAGTACTGAAAGGATTATGTAGCCATCTATGTACATAAAAAGATTTTCATGTAGTAGGAGAAAGCTTGGCATATAATCTCAAGTAGATGAGAAGGCTCAGACAGTGTGACCTAAATAGCTAAGAACAATGTTCATACCAGCTAATCTGTTCAGTGTGGTTAATTCTAAGGTGTATGTCATTGCTGGTTTGTATTTTCCAAATATTTAAGCAAAAGCACGTATTAGTTTTGTGCTAGCAAAAGCTGTTAAAAATCAAATTGTGGTAGTGGTGAGCAATGAATCACATGATAAAGCTTATAGTTTAGGGCTAGAAAACAGTACACAGCTCACAGAGCCTGGGTAGTTTATGACTACAGGGGGTAGTTGGCAGGAGGAGAGAGCCAAAGAGCCAGTTTTTGGAAGGTCTCCACGTAATTAAACCATGATACTTCCATAAGACCAGTTAATCCATCTCTGCTCTCTATTGGCCCTGGTATGACCCTTAATTCTATCTTTCCTCACTGGCCAGAAAGTCCAGCTGGCTACCAGCTTTGACTTTACAAATATAAAACAGGAAGAAGTGGTAATTATTACTAAATAAATGTGGCTGATGGCAACCAAGCATTTAAAACTACAAGGCAAAATGGCAGCTTCTTAATGGTACAAGATAGAAATTGTAGATCAGTGCTCAGTCTCTAGTTTCCAGTCCATCAGCAAACCACTAAAACTGGGAGTACAGTATTTGCCTACCATGCATGAAGCACTGGGTTTCATCTCAACTCTACGTAAATCAAGAATGGATGATTAAATGAACAAAGATCAAGAAACTATTTTAGTAAGTCTCCCAATCATTTCTCTTTAAATAAATTTAGATTAGAACACAGACGAATGTACATAACAGGAATTTATTCTGTGAGTTTACTATAGGTGTATGCAGGTACTGACTGGTAACATCAAATGTGATTTCAGTTTTATTTGTATGACTTATAAAAGAAAATAAAATCCTAAAGATTCTTGGTATGCCCTAGAGCAAAGCTTTTGAAACTTCCTCTCCTAGCTGGACCTTTTCACACAAGAACGTCTCTTTAATTTGTATTTATTCTTTGATAATTTCATACATGCTCACAATATATTTGCCTTAGAAAATTTTATACAATTCTAGTATATAGATATTCAAACCAGGAATACAAACAAAAAACTCACTGACAATAAATTATAAAGACATTTATAAATTATAAATAAATCTATTTTAAAATAATTCTTTGTTACACATATAGCTTTACCATTTATTAAAGCAAGAACAAAAGTTTATGCTGACAATGTACTTGTTTATTTTTACATGAAGAGGTAAATATGGTTAAATATTTGAGACTTCAGAATGCGAGCATTGCAGTATCTTTTTTCCATAATTAGTTGATACGACTCAGTGGTTCTCAACCTTCCTACCCTATGACACTTTGATACAGTTCTTCATGTTGTGGTGACCCCCAGCCACAAAATTATTTTTGTTGCTGCTTCATAACTGTAATTTTCCTACTGTTATAAATCGTAATGTAAACGTATCTGTGTTTTCCTATGGGCTTAGGACTTCTGAAGGAGTTACAACCCAGAGGTTGAGTACCACTGAATTGATCAATACTGCAAATACAGACATTTCATAAAAATACTTAGTACAAAATGGAAGACGTACATTTAGAGCCATTTCCAAAACTTTTGGAAATTCTGTCCCAATCCCAAGCCAAAATTCTTTGAATGATTATATAAATGTGTGTGTGTGTGTGTGTGTGTGTGTGTGTGTGTGTATGAAATTAAGTAAGAAACATTTTTTAAAAAATCAAAGCTTCCAACACCATATAGTACACGGATAGACTAATTTGATACTTCTATGTTGGGCAGTAGAAAATATTAAAAGTCTTTTTTTTTTCATATTTGAACCATTGAGTTTCCATGATGTCAGAAAACTTGGGAAGTGCCGTAAAACTACTACACTGTAGTAGTTGCCCGTCTGAGCTGAGGGTGTTGTTTCTGCATGACCATCATGCACAGCACAAGGTGTACATGTTGTATGTTCTGAACCTAAGATACAGTGAGGTCATGTGATACACTGTGGGCAAGTGTCAAGAGGAGTGCTTTGGGTTTATTATACAAATGACTCTGCATGCATCTTGGGGGTTGTGTGTGCAAAAACTTTGTACCGTTGACAAAAACTCACGACTGCCACTTTCTGTTGCGTGACGTCATCTACGTGAGGTCACTGTCTACAGTTTAAGCAGCTGGAAAAAGAACTGGTTGTCAGCAGCATCAGCCTCACTTTGGAGCTTGTCAAAAAGGCACCTTGTCACTTTCTATACTCAAGTACTGAACTGGGGTGGGTCCAGCAGTCTGAGACTGAATCCCCTGGGTAGATCTGATACTTGGCTTTGAGAACTAGAGGTCTAGCTTTGCTGATCTAGGCGAAGTCTAGGGACATCTGCAACTTGCTTGGAAATGATAGAATCTTAGACTCTAGCCTGGCCTTCCATTCGGGGTCTACAAGATGTTCATATGTTGTGCATACACATTGTAAGACTGAGCACAGAAATCAAACATGCCTGGAAAGTCTACATGAAGGATATCTCTGGGTGTCAGTGACCTGGATCTTTCTCTACAGAGGGGAGAGCAAGGAGAAGGCTTGGGCTGTCAAATGTAAGCACTTTCCGTTTTCCTAAAATTCCTTTTCCTGTTTTACACTGGAGTCTAATTATTATATTATAATTTATTATAGTGTCTAATATACAATGAGATTCATTAACTTCAGCTGAAGTCAATGACTCTGGGCACATTTTCAAGCCCAGGCTTTAATAATGTGGCCTCTTCTACTAACTTCCTTGATGTCTTTTAGGAATTTATCAGAGAGCTGCTCTCCCGGATAAGAGGCATGAGGAAGCTGAGCCCTCCGCAGAAGAAGAACGTATGATTTTGCAACAGGGTAAAATTCTCTCGGAGATGAAGAAAGCGAACTGAGATTTGGACTCCACAGATACTTTTATTAGAAAAAAATAACCATAGTTGTCTTTACAACAACATTTTTTGGTGTGTATGTTGGGGGGGGGTTAGACATTTATTCAAAAGTGTTCCTTCTTTTGTCGTTTTAAAGGGTTTTCATTACTGTAATATTTTAATGGCAAAGCTACTACAGCTTGGACTGTAGCCCAACCAAGGACTATCAAAGCAGACGCATTCACAAGGATGGGCAAGGCCAGGCCATGTCTTTTGTAAGGACTCAGCCATAATTTTAAGATCTCACTATACAGGGAAGATGGTTTTCTTACAGTCAGTTTGGTAAGACACTTTTAAGTTACACACTTGACAGATGTCGAAAGGAGCTCACGCTTGTATATATCCACACACACTAAGTTTCAAATAGAGATGTAAGCTTTGTAGCAGGTTCATGGAATAAGCCTGTGCTTGTCCTGTTAGACATGGTCACGACACATGTGTTCTCAAAAGGCCTCTAGACGTTCTTCAGACAAATGCGGTCCACCTTCAGCATCCACTTTCTGCCCCAAAGTGAAAGACCTCGGTGTGTTCCTTATTATAATGAGCTGTACTACACATGTGTTGAGTTGGTCAAGGGCTTAATTAATAAATTTTATTATTTTATTGGTTGAGATGCTTCGCCAGGTCATGTACTTATTGCTTCACTGTGGTTTTTTTTTTTAATCTTATGAACTCTTCATTTTGAAAACCAGCCTGATTTATAAAGAAAGGCCTACACTTCCTGAACTGAGTTTTGCAATAGAGAAAGGAAGCCCTGTGTAGCAATGGGTTCTCTGCTTTCAATGCAATATGCTGTATTATCTCTGTCCATCAAAGCAGGTCAAAAGGAAACCAACGGATTGAGCCTCTTCCTTCTTAGAAGCCGATTCTGGCCTCTTCTGTGCCGGTACCATCAATCCAGAAGTGTGAACTGAGTATTGAGAAATAAGGAGATGGGAAGACACCTCAAGACCTTTGTTGGTTTAGAAGTCTGGCTTCATCTCTCATTTCTCTCAGTGGTTCATGGTCCTGATTGTGACCTTGATTTCCATGTTAGGAGCTAGGTCTGACTACCTACCCTAACCCCACAGTTACCTACCAGTTCTTTGAGTAGAATTAAAATTCATATGGGATGTAGGCAGGGTTAAATAAAAACTGAGTAAAAGCCCTTCCTTCCTGCCTTCCAGGAAGCCCCTGCTGCCTCCCCCTGGAAACCCTGCCTGCCGTAAGAAGTCTCCAGGTGGCCCTGTCTGAAAACAGGGACCAGGCAATTTATATCAAGGGTGCTTTGAACATATTTTATTTTTTAAAAGAACTATGTTTGTGAATTTTCCGTATACTGGCAAGCTTTTGAAAATGTATTTAATTTTGTAATGTTTACCAATGATTTATTTACAAGCTATTTACTCAAATAAAGGGAGCTGCTTACAAGCTTGTTTGTGTGTGTGATGGTAGAACATACTAGGGAGGGGGCGTTTGGTGTGTTCTCTGCAGATGGGATTCCCAAGGACTCATGGAGCTAACGTCTCACGTTCCAAGTACGTGCAAGCATTTAATTCTTATGCTTTTCTTGGTATCATCAGCAGAGGACGCAGCCATGTTCTTGGATTAAGAAAGAAACAAGATAAGCAATATGTGTTCAGCCCTGCTTGGCCCTATTCCAAGTCACTCCCAGGATGTGCTTTACCCATGTCAGTAAAACTCTCCTTTCCCATTGGAGAGAAACCTGTAAGAAGATCTCAAATTAATAAAGCATCCCAGGTATTAACAGAATGCCATGCATATTAAGAGTCAGGGAAGTGGGATAGGTGTAGGATTTCCACCAGGATTGACCAGCCCAAGTTATGTCCATCCGATGAAGCAGGAGTTCGTTTCCCCACCCGCAAATCTCTCATCCCATTTGTGCTCACTCTGGCCTTCCTTCCTGCCTCGGCTCATTGGTATCACCAGATTTCCTGGGTGATCCTGCTAGATACTAGGCCAAATCTTGGTTCCCATCCTTCCCCAAAACACTGAGCCACCCAGCTTATCTAATACCTAATAATAGTGAAGTCTAAGTAGAGCCTCACTAGGTTGCTGCGGCCATCTTAGAACAGGCTTTTCCATGTCCAGTCTTGACTCTTTCTGCTGTCCCTACCCAGTAGTCAGAATGATCGGGTCATTTCACTCTTTTCCTAAAAGCTGACCCCTTATCACACCTTAAGGACTGGCCATTGCCTCACTACTTCAAGTTTTGGTTCTGTTCCTTGCTCTTAAATTCTTTGGGTTTCTGAACTGTCCTGTATAGTTTTCTCATAAAAGGTGTATAAATTTTTTTACCTGAGCCTAGAGCGTCTTCTTCACCAGCAGGCTCTGTTGAGAGAGCTGGAACAGACTTTCCCAGTCCTCCCGAGGGGTCACATGTGTTGCAGCATGTGCTCCATCACGACAGGTATCTGTAATGTTACGATTGCTTGCCCATGCATGGATCTGTCAGGTTAGGCCCCAGGATCCTCAGTCCGGGGAGTAGAACATTAGCATCCATACCTATGCCTGGCTTATCAAAGAGGTCAGCAAGTGTTGAAGATTCATCCAGAAGACACTTTTCTCCCCAGCTAGGGTGTTGGTTCTAGGATCTGAGCCCTAGACCTGAGAATATAGTTGAATCACGTGAGAAGCTTAAAACAACATGGGCCCACAGAAGTTTTGCTGTGAATCTTTAAAATAACAAAGCTAAAAATATATTTACTGTATGATCCAGCTGACTCACCCCAGGGTATGTCCTGAAAGGAGCTGAAATCAGCACGGTTTACAACAGCTAAGGCATGAGTAACCAACATGTTCGTCAACAGGCAATGAAGAATGAGACCCTGCCTTATGCCACAAAATGGACAGAACTACAGGACATTATATGGAGACAAAGCAGGCACAGAAAGACAAGACCACAAGCTCCCGCATGTGTTCAGGAATGGAGAAAGTCAATCTGACACAATAGGGTTTGGCTACACTGGTATGGGATGGAGTTGATGGGTGTGTGCTTTAAGCGTGTTCAAGCATACCATTTGAAAGGAACACTGTCAGTTGTACAGGAACCACATATTTATAAAAGCATATGTGCCTAAGTGATATAAATAATCTGTCTTCAATTACTGTCTGAGAATAGTAAGCCCAGGAAGCCATTAGTGAATTGAATTTGTTTGCTGGGTCATGGTTCATCAGATAGTTTTTAAAGACCAAATAGAAATTAAGCTCAGCGAAAATCTGATGCTACCAGATCAGTTCTTGTCGGATTCCTAAATGACTGGTCATGGTAACCTGACACTGTCTCTGTCACATTGAGCTTGTGGGGAAGTGACTTATGGTTTGTTTTTCTCTGTGGTTTAGTAGCAGTAAATAGTCTCCTTGGTGCCCAGCATAGCTTTTTGAGGAGGATTACTGACTCAAAGGTCCCTGCAGATAGCTCACTGATAAATGGCAGGTGAGACTCTTCATCTTTTAAGAGGTACTTTGGGCAGTGTCCTGTCCACCCAGCCTGTAATCCTAATGCAGTGACCAATATACACATTCTCTACTGTCAGTTTGCATCTTCATCCAAGAATGTCCAAAAGATTTAGCCAATTACCTCACTTTGTAAATGGCACTAGCCTTTGAAAAACCCCTTCAGATAGAGTAAAAAGCAGCATAGATTTTTGTTTTCTCCCCTGAATCTTATTTTCTATTTCAAGCACATGTTTCCTTTAGAGCTGAAAATTTAGTTCACCCGTGTCATTTTACTAAAAAAAAAATTAAAGTCATAGTTTATGTAGCTCTATGAGATCCTCGAGCAATTAAAACCTGTGAGAAAAATACATTATGGTCATGGAAGAGAGAGCAGGCAGGGAGAGAAGGGGCAAGAAAGATGGAGAAAGAACAACAGAGAGACTATGGGCCAATAAAAAAACAGCAAGGCATTCAGAGACACGAGAATGGCTGGGTAGGAGGGGACACACACTGCCTTCATGTCCTGAAAACGTCCACAGCTAATGCAGGTGAAGGACCAGGGCCAAAAAATCTTGGAGCCCAGACCCACACTGGAAACTATATCCCAAGAATAGGTCCAGTGGAGTTCTGGGGCTCATTCCACACCTCAGATCTCAAACTCAACTTGATTGGATTTTCTATTGTTGTCCTTCTTTCCTTCCTTCCTTCCTTCCTTCCTTCCTTCCTTCCTTCCTTCCTTC